TCAGGGCCAGTGTGCATCAGGTGCCCACCTGTGTGGCTGCCTGGAATGAGAACAGACATGACATCCCTCAGACTGGACCTTTCCCACCACACAATCTTAGAGTTGTCCACATCTCTCTTAGTGAGTTAAGCCGAGCATTTCTTGAGATACTCAGTTTTTCTGTAAAGAAACCTAGAGTTGCTGAGGAAGGGCAGGCCTTGTGCTTGCAGCACAGGAGGTATCAGGAAGTACTGAGGTCCTCACTCTGCCCATGGGCAGCTGGGATGGGCAGAGTCCAGCTGGGTCCAGGTCCTGAGTGGGGTGGTATGAGGGGAGGCTTGGTGGAGGTGGGAATCCTGGCACCACAGCACAGGGCTCGGTCTGTCCAGGCAGTGGTGGCTATTGGCATCCATCCCTGTCTTCCCACCTCCTGCTCAGCCCCTTCTGGGCCAGGCAGCTGGCAGCAGCCAATAAGAATGCAACTTGTCCAAGATTACCAGCCCTCTTCGCCCTCATTGTCCTGAGGCGATGGCTGAAGATGCAGAGGCCTCACTGTCAACTGTAGGATCTCACTTTGTCCTCAAGCCCCTGTGATCAGTACAATGTCCCCATTTCATGAGTGGAGAAACCAGAGGCCCATGGAGATATGTGAAATGTCCAGAGCTTAAATTGGGCCTGTGTGCTGCAGATGGGCTACTCATGCCATCAGAGAAATGTCTTCATGGGGATCTACAGCCTAGAAAGCGTGCAGCATCCTGTCCACTTTTCTCACTTACTTTGCAGCACCAGCTGAGCTCAGTTTGGTGGGATCATCCCCACTTCCCAGATAAGCAAACTGAAACCTGAGATGTAGGTCACACCAATAATTAGAAAAGTTCTGTCCTCAAACTAGAGTGTGGATGTAGCAGCCCTGGTTTGTGCATTCTGTGAGGCTCTGCAGCAGTGCGTTCATCTCAGGGCTCCAAATGCTCCGCTGGGAGCAGCCCCACCTCCTGGGGCTGGGTGCCAGGCCGACCATCTGCTCCAGGGCGGCCTCCCCCTCCTTAGCCACTGATTCTCACTGGCTGGGCTTCCGCGGCTGGGAGCAAGTTCCAGGAAAGGGGTCTCAGCCAGCCTCTCCTGCAGTGTTGTTTTCTGCCATGGGCATTGCCCTGTCACATAAGTGGCTCTGCGAATGTCGCTGCGCTGCTGTTCTCTGTTGAAGATGTGGGAGGGAGGGATCACTTTCCCTAGCCCACCTAGGGCCTGGATGTATCAGCTCCTTGACAAACATCATACCTTGTCTCTGAGTTCTGTTCTGCTTAGTAGCCGGGTGGACTCTGCAAAGCTGAAATCATACTGGATCACCACTCTGCACAGTACCCTCCCTGTGGAGGAGCAAGCCCAGGTCTGGCTGCTGGGTCAGGGCCTGTGCTGTGGGTACACACTGGATCCTGCCTCTTTGGGGTATGTCCTACCCACCCTCAAGCAGTGTCAGGACCCAGGGCCCTCTCAGTGCTGGCATAGGCACAGCTGGGGCACCCTGTCCACTCCACATCTGGATCCTCTCTTGCATGCCTGCCTCTGGTTCTTGGATGCATCACTTGAGGGCCTTGACTGCCTACTCCCCAAGCCCCAATAAGGACTCCTGTTGGCCCCCTTTGTATGCTGGGCACCAGTCACTATCCATGCTCAGCTGTGTGTCCCCTGAAGGTGTCTCTGCACTCTCTCTGGACTGTAAGCTGTGTGGGCAGGACAAACAATCTGAGTTCATCTCCCTGTCCCCGGGGTCTGGCTCTGACAGGCTCTCTGGCATCTCCTGGACTAGCTGAGTACCCTGTGGCCACCAAGCCTGGAGGCCCAGGGACCTTCATCTTTGTCTTTGTGGGAGGACACAGGTTCCTCAGAACCACCAGGCAATGTGCTAGGCAGGTGGTTTGCTGTGGGGGTCACAGGCTCCTGGTGACTATGCTGTGTGTTTACTGTCCACCCTGGCTTCTCAGTGCTCAGTTTTAGATGATTTCACAATGGAAAATTATCCCAGTGTTTTGCAAGACCCCTAAGGAGATGTTTCTGGGGGAACCAGCATCCAAGGATAAAGGTAGACATTCCATCAGAAAACCTGGTGCTAGGAACCACCCCTTTACCCCAGGGGCAATTGCAAAAGGCAGGATAAGATCAGGGATAGATGGGGGATGGACAGGAGGAGGTCGATGGTGGTTCCACCCACAGCATGTGTGTGGGGGAGGGGAGGAAGGGGCAAAGCATTGGAAGCCAGATGGCACCAATTCAGGAATGCAGCACAAGCTGGATTGGTGGAGAGGCCCTCTGGTCACTATCCCAGCTGCACTCAGCAATCTGTGTGCCAGCCTGTCTCTGAGCTAGACATAAAAGAGTAAAGACCACTCCTGAGCTGGACATACAGGAGTAATGACCACGGAGCTCATGCTGGCGGGGGCAAGCAAAAGAAAATATGTCAATGGATGAAGAACTGTAGATGGTGACAGGTGCTGGAGAGGTCAGAAAAGAGGTCAGAAAGGGCCTCCCTGACTGGAAACTCACATGAAAGACAAAGGAGATGCAACGATCAGGGAGGCCATGTGCCATGTGGGGTCCCCCACAGGTGCAGAGGCCCTGAAGTAAAAATGTGCTCCCTAGCAGTGTACACAACCAGGTTGAGCCAGCTAGAATGGGCTTACACAAGTGGACTGGCCTCATGTCTTCCCAGTAGGGTATTCACCGACCTGACGTGGATAGCTGGAGAGCTGCATGCAGAGAGGGATGGGCAGACACACAGGGCCCACACTTGGGGTGCGTATCTGGGTGCCCATGTAAGGCCCTAGAACTGAGCCAGGAAGGAGGGCGGTGGCAGAGCTACAGAGGGAGCCAGCCTTGCTCCATTGCGTGACCAGTCCCTGGAGGGCTTCAGGCAGAAGGGCAGCGTGATTTGATTTCACAGTGCCAGACCAACTCTACAGAACAGACTCAGGTCCAGGAACAAGTAAATGTGGGAGCCAGCAGCAGGGGTTGGGGGAGGGAGTGTTAATGGATCAGATTGGAGTTCAGGCGAGATGTGAGCCAAGAACCGAGACACAACCCACAACCTGCAGCAGCGGCTTCAGACAGGAATGGGGCCAGGGTGGGGATGGGGCTGGACTTTCAATTGGGGATGGGAGTAGGGTTGCAAGTGTAAGAGACTGGGCCTGCAGGTCAGCGAGAAAGGAGGCAGCCACCTCTGTTGCCTGCAGTGCGACAGCCATATCACTCAGATGAGGAATGACAGCAGTGATCTCCAAAGGGGCTGTGCTGATACAGATAGAACCCATGAACTCCCCTCAGAACATCTCCCTACCTGAAGCACACTTACCCCACTGTCTGTCCACGGAGGGGGGCTCTACAACAGCTACTTTCTCACTGCTGTTGAGTCCTGAGGACCACTATGGTCTGTATTCTGTTAGATAGGGGACTCTCAATCCTGGCCGAACACAGAGCCATGGAGGGGCTTCTTCTTCTCCAGACTCATTGTGCCTAGAGATCTGGAGGATGGGGTGACTCAAGACTTCTGGAAGATCCCCAGGTGACTTTACAGTGGCCACAATTAAGACCCACTGGGTTAAAAGGGCTCACAGCAGAGCAAGCCAGGTGTTTTCCACACCTTGCTTGGGTCATGCGTCCTATCACAGGCATGATGGCAAGGTCCAGGCCATTCCTGAATGAAACCCAAAGTCCTCTGTCTTGTGGCCCCTCATGATTTGCAACACCCAGTTGATCACTCTTCTGTGCGTTCTGTTCCCATTAAGTGTTGCTGGATCGCTCCTGCAGTTCCTGCAGTCCCCACAGATGGGAGGACTGAATCTTCAACCCCATGGGGCACTGGCCTTTCTGGGTGGGCAGATGATGGCTGGTTTGGAGGCTTCAATCATGCTGTATGGTACCAAGGAAAACAAGGAAAGAATCAGGGCTGGGCTGTGGGCTCCCATGGATGTCTGGGCAAATGGAGGTTGCTGGGGAGCCATTTAGAAGGCATGGAGGATTTGCTTATGTTTTAAGAAAGGGTAGGGAGGCCAGAGGCCAGAAGTATTTTGGAAAAATGAAGCTGCTCCAAGAATAAAATACAGTGCTGCAAAGACAGAGAAGTGCCGTTCCCCAGGTTACACAGCATGGCTGTGAGGAAGCGTGGAAATGGCACAGGCCTTGGAGTATATGCAGGGTGATCAAAATGTATGGGTGCATATTCATATTTTTAACAGACTATTATAGTAAAGGACACATGGCCATGAATCTCCCTTGCTTCCAGCACACCTACCCATTTTTGCCACTTTATAAAGCAGCTGCAGAGGTCCTTTTTCATGTCTATATGAGGTGTGGCCAAGAATAAGTAAGTGCTGCTGCCGAATGCCAGCCAGTGGGAAGGCAGGCTCATAAAAACATGGCGCTGTGTCCTCATCCACCTGTTCACTGGATTTGGCACTGTGCAACTCCTAGTTCTTCCCTAAGTCAAAATGACCATGAAAGGGAACTGTTCTGATTCAGAGTATTGAGGCAGTCAGGATAGTATGACTAACACCCCTCGTGAAAGAGGACTGCAGAACTTGTGTACTCTGAGACCCTGCTTTTACTGTTGAGCTGGGATGTGTCTGGAGCTCCTGCCCTTGGAGAGCTAACCTTGGATAGATAGGAAATGGAGGAGCCAGGCAGCAAGCGAGTGTCCAGAGCTATGGCACAGTGAAGTGTGTGCCAAGGGCCCTAGTCTTTCTGAGCTGACCTCTGTGTCCTGAGCCCTGTGGCAGCCCATTGGACCCCTGACAGCCAAGTGGTGATGTACTCTGATTTATGTATTTTACCGGCTTGCTGTGTGGCTTGGGCAGTTCACACTGCTTCTGTGAATCTCATTATCATCTGTAAAGAAGTAAAGCACACAGTGAGCTCACTGGGAGGCCAGGGTTGGCCCTGGTCCTCCTGCCTGCAGAGACCAACACAAAAATGACCCCCCACCCTTCTCACATTAGCCTCACTAATAGGTCCCTCTCTTGCCTCTTCAGGGCCCTGGTCTTCGTGTCGCATGGCGCCGGGGAGCACTGTGGTCGCTATGAGGACCTGGCTCAGATGCTGGTGGGGCTGGACCTGTTGGCCTTCGCCCACGATCACGGTGAGTACCTGGTGCACTGTTGCCTTGGCCAGAGAGCTCCGTTCTCTTCGGCACCACCTCCATCCATCTTCTCCAAGGCGCTCTGCTCTGTACATTGTTCTTGGAAAAACACATAGCTATCTAGGCAGAAAAATTTGTGTGATCAGCAGTTTCTGTGGCATCTGAGACTAAATGTAAGCTAATTGGAAATCTTTTGGAAACTCAGAGCTGGATAAATTTCTACAACAACCTGCCCTGGGCCACAAAACATTCTTGGATTTACAGAGCTCTGCTTCTGCAAATAGAGTATGGTCTTCTCCCTGGGGACTTCAGATGGATACAGTGAGGTGGGGAAAGTTCAATTTAAACTTCACCCAACACAAGAGTTTACAAAGCATTCCAAGGCAGGAGAGTGTAAACGTCTCACCAGGTCATCCTGGCTGCAAGAAATCATCAAACATGCACATGCACTTCCACACACAGACATGTACAATTCACAGACACACACTCACGTAGCATGTGTGCACAGATACCCATTCAGACATATACTAGCTTGCATACACACATACAGGTACATATCTCAAGCTAGCTGATTCTTTGTCATGCAGCAGAGCCCACAACAACCATCACAACACAATATTCATTGCCCAAGTTGGCCTGTGGCTGTCTGTCATTTCTGCGATAGTCCCCACAGCTGCAGAGTCTCTGTCAAAGTTCCCTGAGGCCAAGCATGGCGTAACCTCAGTGTAAAATTCTGCCCTGCCAGCCCAGATCCTGAAGTGCCGCTTCTGTCATGTCTGATTTGAAAACAGATGATTAAAGGTGTTGGAGAAAGAGGATCAGGGGAGCTGGGGCAGGGCCTGAGAGTCCTGGGAAAGGAGAGAAAGCTAACACGCGAGGCAGCACCAGCTGGGACATTTTGAACATCAAAATCTGCAAATCTGATTTTCCAAGAACCCTTTTAAAGCAGATGTATGTAGGTACCTCGTGATGGAGAACACTGACCAATTCTTCCCTATTACTGGTGTGATGGTCTTCAGAGCTTTTCAGGCTGTCCCAGGAATATTTGAGACTGAGAAATGGTGTGCTAGGATTATCCCGGGGGCATTTGCTGTGGGTTGCATCATTATCCACTCAGTATTTTTCACACTGTCTTATAAGGGCCTGAGACAGGGATGAATTTGTTCTGATCCCATTTGTCTCCATAAAGGTTAGAAAGCGCAGCTATGCTGTGCACCTCGTATTGCAAATTTTTATCTTGCATCTTGATGTCAGCCACCTTCTTATCAGATACACTTGGCCAAATCTGGAGAATTAAGTAAATGTTGTGCTTTATTTCTTCTGTCTGACTGATGCACTTGGAAAAATAATTTCAAAAGGCTTCCTTTTTTAGAATAAAAGGAGAAAAGAAACTCCTCCCCCACCCTGTAATGATCCCAGAGTTAACAGCTAACATGGGGCCAAGACTGTCCTCAGTCTCCTAAATAAGGGGTGAAAATGGACATTTGTGTTCACCTGACTTGGGTTCTTAGAGTGACTCTTTGGAAGAGTGACTCTTTCTCTGGCTTGTGCTAAGGGAGGCACCTGATTCAGGAAACGGAAATGAGCCTAGGGGACTTTCTGTGTCTGCAGATGGGGATGACTTGGTGTGTGAGCAGGAGAAAGCAGGTTGGAGATGCTTGCTTTATTCCCATCTGGCTGGGGAGTGTGACAGGACTGGAACCCTAAGCTGTTGCTTCTAAGGCCAGCTCTTTCTGTGATGTCCTGCTGAAGTGTCCAGGCACAGGCACACACGGCCTTCATGTGTTCCAAAGAGCTTTTGGAAATAAATACCACTTGCCCGGGGAAGGTGAGGCATTCACTGTGCACTTGGAGGCGTGCTAATGTGTAGACACACATAGCGGAAAGTACCGCCAAAGGCCTGTGATCACCCTGGTGCCAGGTCAGCCCAGACCTGTCACAGTGAACTGTTGTTCCCTGCTGCTATAGTTTGTCCCAGTGTCACTGTAACCACTTCCCACCTGGGCCCAAGTCTCCATTCAACAGGGAGTCTCGGCTGTCTGACCTGAGGCTTGTTCATTCATCCCACACCTTAACTTCCCCATTCGGCAACTGGATGGTACCCCTTCTTGCTTCGGTACAACGTAGCTGGCATGTTGTGTGCTTGGATGGTTGTCACCCCAGGGCTCTGCCCAGGGCCGACACAGCTGAAGCTGGGAGTCTGGACCTGGGGTGCCCATTCTCGTGCTGCTGCTGCCAGCTTGGTCTTCTCTCAGGCCCTCGAGGCTGCCAAGATGAAAAGAAACAATAGAGGAAAACGTTTTATAGAGTTGATGGAGCTGCCCTGTGGTGGCCTCATCACAGATTTCTGTAACCCAGTCTACAAGCACACTGGTTTCCGATAAATCCTGCAGTTACTGATCTGAATCACCATTGAAGCAGAAAGATGGACACTTTTGAGCTCTCTGGGTGGACGAGGGTAGCCAGTTTAGCTTTGTGTTACGTTTTAACCTTTGAGGTTTTAGAGAATGACCTCAGAGTTTTGAATAGCTTGCCAACAGTAAAACTGTAATAACTCTGAGCTTGTTGTCCTGGCTACTCAGGAGACAGAGGCAGGGGAATTGAGAGTTCAAGGCCAGACTGGGTCACTTAGCAAGGCCTGTCTCAAAACAAGGAATAAGAAAGGCCTGTAGCTAACAAGGAGAACAGCCCTGGGTTCCATCACAGTACTGAAAACAAAACAAAACAAAAAGTACTAACTGTTGACCTTAATTCTCAAGGCACCTGGAACAGGAAGCAGGAAGTTCTGTCATAAGAGACAGGAAGCAGAAATAATGGACGGGAAGGGGCAGGGCTCCCCCGGGTGAGGACAGCCATCTTTCCTAGCCGAGCCAGCACTGGTGTCCCCTGATTGTAGCTAGCTGCAAGGGAGGCTAACTGGAACAATACGTGACTCTGTGAGACAGAAGCTCATGATAGACGTTGGTGGTAGCTTATTATTTAAGAGTTTATTATTTTCTGTCTTTCCTATTCAGTATGTTTTCTGAATGTGTAGCTGAGTCACACCGGCTTTCATCTCATCCATCCTCGTGTTCTTTCATAAGATTGAAGGAGATAGTTTTTATTAGCATCATTATAAGTGTTGATGCAGCTCTCTAATTGTACCTTTACTGTGGGTGGGGTGTTGTACTAGGAGGACTGCCAGGGGCAGTGACTCCTGACCTAAAGGTAGCAAGGCCTGTCTTCCCCAGGAGCAATAAGCAGCTCCTCTCTAAATACATCACTTTGTCTAGTCCTCACTGTACTGTTTGGTAACTATTCCCTTGTGGGCAAGGCCGGCACAGACTGGATCTTAATACGTTGTGCATTTGTCCTTTTTCTGTACCCCTTGAGCCTTTCCCCTAGAGCACAGCCCATGACTAAGCAGAGATTAGAGACATCACTAGTGTTTGGTGAATGACTAGAAGATCAGATCAGAGATTATATCAGACCAGAATTAGAATTCTGATCAGACCAGAATTCAGTGAAGACCAAGTTAGATGAGTCCAGAAATGTTTTAAATAAAGTAATAAGATATACACATCCAAGTATCCACAATTGGAATTCCTCATTGCGGAAGGTATCCCCCTGGTCTGCTGGTGGCCAGCGGTCTGGGGCTGCTGTCAAGGGAGCATGTGGGTGATGTGGATACCACGTGGGAATAGAGGAGACACAGGCCTGTTGCTGAGGCAGTGGCATGGCATCTCAGAGTCACATGGGTGTCCCCAGGTGGTGGGGAGTGAGCAGCTGGTCTTGTCAGTTGAGTAGGAGCTTGCCAGGAGGAGGGGTATTGATCACAGAGAGCCACACTCTCACTTTGGTGCCCTTGGCATCCCTAGGGGAGCGTCACTGAAAATCAATGCCTACCTTTTCTCCCTCATCCCCAACTCTGGTGTCTTTGGGGGATACTTTGGGGTACTAGGAATTGAACTCAGGACCTTGTGCTTGCCAGGCAGATGCTGTACCACTGAGCCATGTTCTTGGCCCATCTTTGGGGTTTTTAAATAGCCCAGTGATTCCTCGCTCAAGGGTTGTCCGTGTGGTCAGCACCATTCTAGGTAGAGAAGGCCATGTAAGAAGAAGGTCTGAGGACTCTCCCGTTCCTCAGCATCACTTGCCTGTGTCCATGCAGGGCAGAATACCCTCCACAACCTTGCAAGGAAGCCCAAAAGGTCAGGGAGTACGGGGTCCGGAGAGAAGTGTTGGAGCAGGCTGGATGGGGTGGCTGCCAGGAAGAGCACCAGGACCAGGGAGCAGGGGCGGCCACCAGAGCTAGGAGAGGTGTGGCCAGCTGTGGCTGGAAACCCCAGAAGAATGTGTACTGTGGCATTCTAAATGCAGCACAGTAGAAACTGGGGCCGCCCCAAATGCAGTCGCTGGGTCCCCCAGCTGCTCCCGGTGACTCACTGGAAACCCCTTGGTCTTGCATGATGCCTGGCCACTCACTGCAGACCGCAGGCCAGGAAGGCTGGCAACTCTCCAGGGACAGGTCCTCCAGGGAGAGGCGACAGGAAGCTGCAGCCAGAACATCCTAGAAGTCATCAAGAATCTGCTGCCCACAGCGCCAGCCCCCTGTAGGGCTCATTTAGGTAGGGTACCCAGACAGTGGCCAGAAGCCCCAGACCCAGTCTCACCAATACCACAGAGAACACAAACCACTGGCAAAAATGTGCTTGCTGGGCTAGAACTTCTCTTTGTGTACAGAGTATTAGAGAACCATCCTCAACTGATTAACAGTGAATTAATCATCTGCAAATATTTGAGGGAAGGTGCTAATGCAGGGTGTGTGTGGCGGGGGATACCCAGGGGGAGAGAGAAGAGGAAGTTTGGAGAGACAGCTGTGGGCGGCCTTAGGTGTGATTCTCGTTGAGGGGACAGAAAAAGAATACTTAGAAAATCCAGGGGAAAAAAGAGAACGATGATGTATGTGTGTTTTCTACACAGGGAGACAGATTTTAGTCACTGTCCCTGGAGGGATGTAT